TAGAGTTAATAAAATAATTTAACAAGATTGCAGTATACAGGATCAACACACAAACAATTGCACATAAAAGCATATACACTTCTAAAAAACTAATGCCATTTACAATATCATCCCCTAAAATATCCAAGAGTAAATTTATCAAAAGCCAGACTTGTACACTGGAAACTATAAAATAGGATTAAAAAAATTAAAGAAGACGTAAATAAATGGAGATATCAAGCATTCTTGGACTAAAATGACAATACTAAAAAATAATCTAGAGATTAAATGCAATCACTATGAAAAGAGATAGGATGGCTTGAATTCTCTCTTTCCCATCACACTACGATGTGGAGATATTCAAGTCCTCATACATTTGCTACGGTAATGTAAAATGGTACATATACGTGGAAAATAGTTTGTCCTCGGAAACTTAAACATAGAATTACCAGGAATCCAAAGAATTGAAAATGGGCACTTAATAGATGTATATGAAGCTTTACAGCAGAACTATTCACAACAGCCAAAAGGTATAAATAACCTAATGTCTACCAGATGATGAATGAATAGATATAATATATATCCATACAGTGATACATACTATAATACAAATTAATCTCAAAAACATTATGTTAAATGAAAAAAAGAGACAAAAAGTCATGTTATATGATTCCATTTATATGCTATATCCAGAATATGTAAATCCACTGAAACATAAAGCAGATTGGTAAACTGAAGAAAGGGAGTAATAAGAAGTAACTCTTTGTGGGTTTAAGCTTTTCTTTGGGGGTGATAAAAATGTTCTGGGACCAAAAGAGGTGGTGGTCAAACAACATTGTGAGTGTATTACATGCCATTGAGCTATACACATTAAAATGGTTCATCTTTTACACATATGATTTCACCTTAATAAAAAGTAACGTGGCCTGGAGTTGTAGGTCATTGGGAGAGGCACTGGGTTTGATTCTCAGCACTGCATATAAACAAAGGTCTACTGACAACTAAAAAAAATTATATATATAAAAAAGTAAAGTAACAAAATCATCATGAAGTCATTTAATACTAACAACCATGCTTTTTCCTTAATAACTTTTTTCTCTTTTTTTGCAGGGGGTGGCGGGTGGACAGGGGGATCAGGAATTGAACTCAGGAGCATTCAACCACTGAGCCACATCTGCAGCCCTATTTTATTATTTTATTTAGATACAGGGTCTTGTTGAGTTGCTTAACACCTCTCAGTTGCTGAGGCTGGCTTTGAACTGTGATCTTCATACCTCAGCCTCCTGAACTGCTGGGATTATAGGCGTGCGCCACCATACCTGGCTAATTATTTCTCTCTTTTGTGTAGTCTGGCAACTTTCCTTCTCATTTTAAATATTGACCTTGAAGCCCAAGAACAAAAAAAGCTACATTAAGATCTTATATACTCAAAATTACCAAAACAGTATCTAAAGACCAAAACATTTTCCAGAGCTTCACAGCCACACATATTCATTCAACTAAATTTTGTTTTTTTATAGGGATTTTCCACAGGCACTTTAAGATTTAACATGTCCAAGATATGGATCCATCATGAACTGTTAAATCTGCTTTTCATATTTCAACTTCCATTTTCATTAACAGAGTACCATCTAACATGGTAATCTGAGAGGCATTTTAAAATCCTCTTCCAACCTCACAACTGTCTGTCTTAACATGGTAATCTGCAAGGCATTTTAAAGTCCTCTTCCAACCCCACAACTGTCTGTCTTATTTACTTAAAGAAGCCTATTGTTCCTTTCTTTTGTATTTCTTCCATACTACCCCTTTTTGTCCTCTTTACACTTAATGCTACACAAATTGCCCTCCCACAGTAAAGAACTAAAATTTTAAAAACACAGTTTTTCTAGCACTTAACAGGCAGCTTAATATTATGATTCATAAAGAAAAATGAGTCAAGCTAACAACGCTGGAGAGTATTTAGGTGGTTGTGAAGGCATGTGGAATAGTTTATAAAAACTGAGGAGAAAGAGACACAAGTTCAGAAAAGCCGAGAAGGCTACATTTGTAGGGCAGAGTACCAAACAAACATATACACAGATAAAGAGCCTTAGATACGTGCAGAGTCCCTGGTGTCTTTGGATACTGCACAGGTACAAGTGGAAAGTTTTTGGGGCCAGGGCTGAAATTATTCTCAAAATATCTTTTAATATATAGGGCACTGGGTCAAATCCTCTTCTTGCTTTTCTGTAGACCCACATAAGTACCAGAATAGAAGCTGCTTTGAATCCTTCACATTTTAGCAATTGAATCCAGCAATATATAAGAAGAATAAAAACACTATGACAAAGTGGTGTTTATCTCAGGAATGCACCAGTAATTTAACATTAGAAAATCAATTAATATAATTCACCATATAAACAGAGTAAAAAAATTCCAAAGATCATCTCAAAAGACACGAGAAAATTGTGTGACCCATTTGGGAGAAAAACTTTCAGAGAACTAGGAACATTAGAATACTTTCTTGACCTAATAAAAAGCATAGGAGAAAAGTAATAGGGTTGGGGTATATTTCAGTGGTAGAGCACTTGCTCAGCAGGTACAAGGTCCTGGATTCCATCCCCAGGACCACAGAGGGGGAAAAAAAGGTCAACAGTGAATGCTGTACTTAATCATGAAAGACCAGAAATATATTGTATGTTAATATATCAATGAAACTTTTTTTTTTTTTTTGGTATTGGGGACTGAACCCAGGGATGCTTTCCAACGGAGCTACATTACCAGCTCTTTTTTATCTTTTATTTTAAGACAAGATTTCACTAAGTTTCTGAGGCTGGCTTCGAATCTGCAATTGTCCTGCTTTAGCCTCCCAAGTTGCTGGAATTACAGGCATGCACCTAGCAATAAAACTGACTTTTTAAATCTACCATTATATTTTCAAAGTTGTTCAAAAAGTTTAGTCTTTTAAACAAGAGAGCTGATTATAACAAGAAACTTGTCATTTGTTACTATATCTAAGAATCTATAAACAGCAAAATGCAATTTTAAAATAATGGGTGTCTGCAATATATTTCCATTACTGCATGTTGAACCTTAAATATAAGAAGACTGTGCAACAGTCCATACCAAAAGCTATATAGTGAACTCTTAAGCAACTGGAATTTAAAACCACTAATTAAAAAAAAAAAAATCAATCACTATACTAAAATAACAGCAATAGAAGAATTAGCTTTAATTTTTTATTCTATTCTTATGGTACCTAAGTATAAATTACTTGTTAGTGACTTGAACTAATTCAAGTGTATTAAGAATTAGACTACAGGGTTGGGAATATAGCTCAGTGGTACAGCACTTACCTAGCGTGCCTGAGGCCCTGGGTTCAATTCCCAGTGCCAACAAAAAAAAAAAAAAGAAAAAAAAGAAAGAAAAAAAAAATTGGGTGGGAACCGCATTTTACCCTGCACTTGAAATTTAGTCATTTTGTTCAAATCACTCAGCTACTTTGAAAGTATTCAAGAAATGAGATTTTTTAAAAATTATAATAATAAATGCTAACCCATCATTTTATTATGTTTCAACAATTAAGGGAAAGTATTTTATAACTGCTCAGTCACATCTGTAAGTAAGGAATTATATTACAAGAAAAAATGAGAACTGTTTAAAGCAGGAAGGTAATATTGTAAGAATCTGTATTTCTTCTATGTTAAAGATGAACAGAAACACAGACAAGAAATTGCTTGAAACACACTTCTCAATTTGTTCAGGGAAAAAGTAAATAGTTAATAGCATATCCCATGTAGGTTCTATAAACTAACCCTTCTTTTTTTTTTTGGAGGGGGGTGGCAGTACCAGGGATTGAACTCAAGGACATTCAACCACTGAGCCACATCCCCAGCCCTATTTTGTATTTTTATTTAGAGACAGGGTCTTGTTGAGTTGCTGAGTACCTCACTTTTGCTGAAGCTGGCTTTGAACTCAATCCTCCTGCCTTAGCCTCCCAAGCTGCTGGGATTACAGGCATGTGCCACCTCTCCCAGCTATACTAACCCTTCTTAATTGAAGGAAGACTATAATACTAGCAGGTGACAGTTTAACCACCCACATGTCACACCCTTATTAAAACTTAGAAGTCACCATTCCTCAATAGAGACAATACAATATGTATAGAACTTAGGTGACAATCAGACTAAAAGGATAAGATGCACATATGAACAAAAGTAAGCATGCTTATTTATATACAACATTGTTATGCTTTTAAAAAAAAATGCTCCTATATCAAAAGAGATCATTAAGTAAAGCTGAACTACCTTAGCTCATGTTTTCAAACCATTAAAACCTGTAGTCCATTCAATCAGTAAGGTTCCATGGTTAACTTGTGTTCATTTTAAATATACTCTAACATAACAACCTTCTGCTATCCTACCTCTTGACTTGTGCAGCTCAATTTTTTTTTTTTTTTAGTTTACATTAGGCAAAATAAATAAGAACAAGCTTATTTTTTAAAAAGTAAGAATAATTATACATTTCTTGAAAATACCACTCAAACCATATAAATCACATCAAACTAGAACTGCTGAATAAACTGGAACATCATAATAAGCTGCCTTTCATACATCTATAACTATGTCTGTTTTAAAAGAAAATAATCCACATGTAAGATAGGTAACAAATAGTATTAGATTTTAAAATATTGGAAACTTCCAAATTACTGATTCAAGTAATAATGATCTGTTGATAGCATAATAACCAAGTTATTCTAAACTTCAAAGTAATATAAAGTTTAACGCTTTAGCATCAATTTAGCCATTTATTAGGTTCAAGAGAAGTCCAACAAAAGCATTACTGGTCAACAAAATTCCTTCCAAATATCAAGTGGTTATCTTAAGAATTAATACTCAAGACAAATAAGACTCAACCCTAATAATGAGAACTATAATCCTCTTTAAAAATTTAGCTTAAACAAGTCACAAACATTTGATAAACTGTTGGGGTAGCACAAGTGAAAATTTAAATCAAATCTTGTTTTGATATTTCTATCCTACCTGTATCTTCAATAAATTCCACACATTTTTCAACAAACAGTGGTATGGGCTTCTCAGCTGTAACCAGATCCTGGAGGGGCATCCCAAAGTAATTACTTTCCCAATTTCTACGCGTTGGTGGATTGAAGTTCTTAGTTTTCTTTTTCTGCTATAAGAAAACATATTTGAGTTAAAACTATTAAAAATTAATCTCCCTCAAAATATTAGTATCAAGCAATATAAACACACAGTTTGGATAAAAGAAAATATTTACAAGCCATACCCAATTGAAATGTCCATGAAAACCGGACACATTACATTCTACTAAGAGCAGCAACCTGATCAATGGAGGCAAAAAAAGTGAATAGGGAAAAAAATTAGCTGACTAGAAGAAAATGTTCTCTTTGGAAAATAACATAAGACTAGATAGGGAGAGATGAGAAAGATTAGATAGTAAAAGACAGGGAAGATCATTTTTCAATGCCAATGTAGGGGACAAACTAGAAATACACAGAGTAGGGTTTTGTATAAATCTGTATTTCTGAGAATAATTTACTGATTATATAATGAGGTTATATATTTGCACCAAGATTTTAGTCTATTTTTCCCACATTTGTGCAATCCACTGTGACTTAAATATTAAGACAGTTTTCAGAAGAAATTTGTAAAATATTTTCAATACAAAAAAAACCAAAACAATTTTTTTTTTTTTCAGAATTTAACTTTTATCTAACCATTAGAAAAACATGGATTATTAACCAGGAATGTTCATCTCAAAACCCAAGGATGAACTGTCTGGAATCAATGTTGGGGAGATTCTGATTCATTCTTTTTTGAGTAGGGTATAGCAAGCATCTTCAAAGATGATTCTGTTATGCATATCCAATTGAGAATCTCTAAAGTATAGGAAGAAAAAGTTTTCACAAATTCAAAGAGCTTATTAAGAGCACTTTTACTAACAGCCCTGATTTCTTTTTCAGTATAACTATCTAAAATTTTTTATTTTCTCTAGTATAAATCACAAATCTATTCATATTGCTCATATCACTACTGGCTTACAAACAGAACAACAACAACAACAAAAATTTCCTTCTATTTTAACCTAAAGAATGGTCTACCTTAGGACTTTTGCATGGCTGTTTCTTTTATCTTTTGAATGAGGCCTACACTGATCACCTGATTAAAAATCACAAACTGCAATCCTACTGCTTGTCTTCCCCAGTACTTCCAATCTTTCTTATCCTAATTCTTCTCTCCTCAACATTATAAAATTTATTCATGCATCATCTTTGTTTCAGGGGTGTGAGGAAGGAAACAAAGATGATGCATGAAATTTCTGCTACAATAGAAACTCTACATATGGGCAGAGATTTTGATTTGCTCATCAATATATCCCAAAGATCAAGAATACAGTCTATAAAAGGAAATAGTACAAATGGTCCTAAAAAACCCATGAGGTCTCAAATTGAAGAAGACCTTAGAAGATGGAAAGCTCTCCCATGTTCTTGGATAGGCAAAATTAAATATTGTCAAAATGGACATACTACCAAAAGTGCTAAACAGATTTAATGCAATTCCTATTAAAATCCCAATGACATTCTTCATAGAAATAGAAAAAGCAGTCATGAAATTCATTTGGAAAAATAAGAGACATAGAATAGCCAAAGCAATCCTTAGCAAGAAAAGTGAAGCAGGAGGCATCACAATACCAAACCTTAAATTATATTACAGAACTCTAGTAACAAAAACAGCATACTATTGGCACCAAAACAGACATGAAGACCAGATACAGAATAGAAGACATGGAGATAAACCCACATAAATACAACTATCTCATACTAGACAAAAGTACCATAAAGATACATTGGAGAAAATACAGCCTCTTCAAAAATGGTGCTGAGAAAACTAGAAATCCATATGTAGCAGAATAAAATTGAACCCATCTCTCATCCTGTACAAAACTCAACTCAAAGTGAATCAAGGACCTACACATTAGACCAGAGACCCTGCACCTACTAGAAGAAAAAGCAGGCCCAAATTCTCCATTATGTCAGCTTAAGAACTTAATTCCTCAACAAGATTCCTAAAGCTCAAGAAATAAAAATCAAGAGTCAATAAATGGGATTGTATCAAACTAAAAACTTCTTCACAGTAAAAGAAACAACCAAGAACACGAAGAGAAAATCTTTGCCACCTGTACCTCAGAGCATTAATCTCTAGGCTGTATAAAGAACTCAAAAAGGTACACTCATACATTGCTGGTGGGATTGCAAACTGATGCAACTAATCTGGAAAGCAGTGTGGAGATTCCTCAGAAAACTTGGAATGGAACCATAAGATATTCAAATCAGCATACTACAGTGATGCAGTCATATCAATGTTTATAACAGCTCAATTCACAACAGCTAAGCTGTGCAACTAACCTAGGTTATCCTTCAACAGAAGAATGGTATCTATTCACAATGAAATATTACTCAGCCATAAAGAATGAAATTATGGCATTTGCTGGTATATGGAGAGAACTGGGAGGTATCATGCTAGGTGAAAAAAAACCAATCCCTCCAAAACAAAGGTTAAATGTTCTCTCTGATATGCAAAAGTTAACACACAATGGGGGCGGGGTGTGGAATAGAAGTTTCACTGGCTCAGACAAAGGGGAATGAAGGGAAGAAAGGAGGGATGGGAATAGGAAAGAAAGTAGAATGAAATGAACATAACTTTCTGATGTTCAAATATGATTACATCACCAGTGTTTAACTCCACATCATGTACAACCACAAGAATGGGAAGTTATACTCAATGTATGTATAATATGTCAATACATTGCACTGTCATGTATATCTAAAAAGAACAAAAATGAATAAATCCTCCCCCCATATTTGAGGTCTCTTCTAAAATAATGAGCTTGGTTTATAGTTTGAGTAATCTTACCATATACTAGGAAAGATAAACAGAAGTGAATCATCAAATTAAGAGATATATTGTGCTATATTCAGTAAGTCTCAAAGAATAGTAAAGGTTCCAGACAAGATGAAAAATAACAACAGTGGGGAAAAGTAACAGGATAGATAGCCTCAGAGTTCTCAGGAAAAGTACAAGTCACAGGATTCACCTATAGGAATGCTCATGGGAAAAAAAATGTGTCAAGAATTCTTTACCTAGCCAATATATATGTCATTCAGGTGTGCATAACCACCAGCTGTAAATTTTTTTAAAAATTTTTCAAATATGCAATAATCAAATTTAAATTATAGCATGCACAAACTCCTTCTTGAAAGATCATAAAGAACACACAATGAAGAAATCAATAAAAAAGAACTTATATTGGAGAATGTCGCTATGAAAACCATATGAACACTATACAATGAAACAAAACTAATTCTAAGTAATAATATATATAATCAATAATTTTCCAGGCAGCATTACAAAATATAAAAATTATTTGTAAGAGGTCAAAACCAAATTCTCAACCTACCCCAAAAGAGGAATGGGTGGGATATAAGAGATAATGTAATTATAGTAGTGCATGACAGGTTATCAGAATACACTGGTAGGTTGAGCAAGAATAATAAACTGAAATAGGTTTGTAATATTTAAAGAAAAAATAAGCAAACCATAAATTAATAGCACCTTCATTTTTCTTATCTTTTCTCTGATGGCAAAGAAAAAAATTGAAAATAAAGAAAAAGCAAACTGATATTTATAAAAACAAGTGTAAATAGAATAAGATCAGCTATATAAATAAAATTCTAAGACTTGGTATAAAACTAAACCAACTAACCATATGCCATTTAAACCAAGGGACTTAAATAAGTTAAAAATGACAGGCAATTGAACAAAGTATGTACAGAAGGACTGTACATAATGTACTCAATATGATATGGTCTACAAATTATCAACCCACAGCCAATCATACCTAATGAGAAAAAGCTGAAAATCTTTCCTCTAAGATCAGGTACAAGAAAAGGTGTTCATTCTCACCATTCTTATTCAACACAGTACCCAAAGTTTTAGCCAGAACAATTAGAAAAGAGAAAGAAATAAGACATACAGATAGGAAAAAAATCAAATTATTCCTGTTTGTAGATGATATAATTCTCTCTATATAGAAAAACCTAAAGACTCCACCAAAATACTATTAGAACTAATAAATTCAGTAAGGTAGCAGGATACACAACCAATGTACACAAATCAGCTGCTTTTCTATACACCATAACAAATTTGCTAAGAAAGAAATCATGAACATCATCCCATGCACAATAGCTACAAAACAATAACAACAAAACCACCTAGGGATAAACTTAACCAAATTAGTAAAAGACCTCTACAGTGAAAAATATCAAATACTAATGAAAAAGAAACTGAAGAAGGCACAAAAAGCTGGTAAGACATCCCGTATTCATGGATCAGGATAAATATTACTCAAATGTCCATACTATCCAAAGGGATTTACAGAGTCAATGCAATCCCCATCAAAATACCAGTGACATTCTTCAGAAACAAAAGAAACAATACTAAAATTCACACAAAACCACTTCACCTGAATAGCTGAAGCAACTTGGGCAAAAGAAAGAAGCTAGAGGGACCACAAAACCTGATTTCAAAATAGCGTGGTACTGGCATAAAAACAGACAAATGAAACTGAAGTGATATCAGAAATAAACCCAAATGACTAACTACAGACAACCGATTCTTGACAAAGGTGCCAAAAACATTCATTGGACAGCCTCTTAAATATGGTGGGAAAACTAACACAATAAAACTAGGTTATTCATAAAACTATAAACAGATATATCACACGATTCCACATGCACAAGAAACTGAAATTTGACCCCTATATCTCACCCTGTACAAAAATCAACTCAAGACAGATCAAAGACCTAAATATAAGCCTGGACATTCTGGAAAGTAAATGAAGAAGCACTTTAAGATATTGATGTGGCAACGATTTTCTGCACAGGACCCTAAAGTACACGGAAATAAAAAAAAAAAAGTAAAAATTGGCAACAGGAATTACATCAAACTAAAAGGTTTCTGCATAGCATAGCAAAGGGAGAAAAATCAACAGAGTGAAGGAACAACTTACAGAATGGAAGAAAATATTTGCCAACTAACTATGTATCTCACAGAGGGTTAAAATTCAGAATACATGAAGAACTCAAACAACAA